ATTTGGTGAGCCAGGCTGCCTTGTCGAGTCTTAAAACAGTAGTGAAAAATTGCTGTTTTAAGTAGGAGGGTCCAACATGTCCACAGTGAAGAGTCAGGGACTGTAGCAGAAGGGCTAAATGCAGAGCTCCCCTAAACCTGTACTTAATATTTCCCTGCAAGGAGAAGTTCACAGCAAGAGATGATTCAAAAATTGCCTAAGGGCTCCTTTATGCTGTCTCTTCCCAAAAGATGCCCTTCTCTGTTTCTTTCCTCCCTCCCTCCCTCCCTTCCTTCCTTCCTTCCTTCCTTCCTTCCTTCCTTCCTTCCTTCCTTCCTTCCTTCCTTCCTTCCTTCCTTCTCTCTCTCTCTCTCTTTCTTCTTCATCTTCCTGATATTACGTGGTTATTGTAGAAAGTTTGAAAAATACAGAAAAAATCCACATTTTAGAGGTGATCACTATGAACCTTTTGGTGCATTTCCTACTATGATGGTTAATTTTATGTGTCAACTTGGCTAGGCTATGGTGCCCAGTTGTTTGGTCAAACACCTGTGTAGATGTCACTAAAGTATTTTTTTCAGATGAATAAGCATTTAAGTCAGTAGACTTTGAGTAAAGCAGACTACCCTCCATAATGTGAGTGGCCTCATCCAATAAGTTGAAGGCCTTAAGAACAAGACTGAGGTTTCCCGAAGAAGCAGCAATTCTGCTTAAAGACTGAAACAAATCCTGCTTTAGTGCCAGGCTGCAGATTTCAAACTCAAGACTGCAACATCAACTCTTCCCTGAATTTCCAGCCTGTCATCTGCTCTACAGATTTTGGACTTGCCAGCCCCCACAATCACATGAGTTGATTTCTTAAAAATGAATCTATATATCTATTTCTTTGTCTATCTATCAATCCGATTGTTTTTGTTTTTCTGGAGAACCCTAACTAATACACTTGCCACAATTACTTTGTTCACTCATTTCCTCTGGATTAGCATTCTTCAAACTATAATGTGCATGTAAATGACCCGGGAATCTTGTTCAAGTGCAGCCTCTGGGTCAGTAGGTAGTGGATTGAAAATTTGCATTTCTAACGACCTCCTAGAAAATGCCATGCTGCTAGTCTATAGCCCATACTTTGAGTAGCATGGATTTACGTAACCAACACTTTCTTTGAAACTATATCATAATCTTAGTTTTTCTCCTAAAACATAATTTGTAGTAACTGTATTACATTCCGTCATAGGGGTTGTCACAGTTTACTTAACCCATTTCTAATTATTGAAATTTCGGTTTGCTATCATTTTTAAATATTGTAGAATTTTGCACTGAACATCCTTGTATATAAATCTCCGTGTGTAGCATTATATCCTAAGGATAATTTGTCAAAGAAATTCCAGGGCCAAATAGATATATTGTTCAGGCTTCAGAAACATATTTCCCAAAAGCTGTTTAGAAAAAAATTGTCCAAGTTTCTTGGCCCATTCAGACTGTTCGAAATACCATAGGCTGAGTAACTTATAAACAACCGACATTTATTTTTCACAGTTCCAGAGGCTAAAAAGTGCAAGATCATGGTGCTGGCAGATTCAGTGTCTGGTTCGGGTTCACTTCTTGGTTTCTAGACAGCACCTTATCTCTGTACCTTTCCATAGTGGGTTACAATGAGGGATCTCATTGGGGCCCTTTTATAAGGACACTATTCCCATTCATGAAGGCAGAGCCCCAATTTATCTCCCAAAGGACCCATCTTTTAATAACATTGTCTTGTGGATTAGGATTTCAACATATGAATTTTTGGGGGGTTGGGAACATAAACATTCACCTCATAGCCCAAAATATATTCCCACCTGAAGGCTTGGTTTCTATAGCAACTCAAGCTTATATGCTCATCCCCCTGCTTTCAAGGGCTTCCCCTCACCTTAGACTTGGCATTCACATTGTCAGTGTCTGCTGGACAGCAGAACCTACCCAAAACACATGAATCTCATTATTCATTCATATATTCTTTCATTTATTGTATAATAATATTATTTGATTATCTATTCAGTTGGTACTAATAGGCACTCTTCTGGGAGCTGAGATATAGAGAATTTAGTTCAACCACTAATCATAAAATTAATTTAATTATAGATATAATAATTGGTGCTGTAAGTATATGACAATAACCTGGCCTAATCTAAGGGTCAAAGACACTTTCTGAGGAAGTGACATTTGAGGTTGTTCTGAGGGTGTGTCATTCATTTCCCTAATTCTTGGCTAATCCTTTTCAAAAAGGTGGAGGCTCTAATGACAGAACCTCAGAAGTCACCTTTAGTGAGAGATGGTACACATGCAGTCGCCAAAGATCTCCTAAGAGGTTAATTGTAGCTGCTGTTCCTTGTTCTCCCTGTCATGCTATTGTGAAGATGACACTGCAGGGTTGGTTCCTCTGCTCTCTGTTCCTTGGTGGAGGCTCAGTTTTCCACTACTGAATCTGAACATCATCTGATTTCCCAACCATGCTCATTTATTATAGTAAATGAAGCCTAAATAACAAGTTATTTTAAGGTAATTCATCATAGGCAAATATATTTGATTTTTTGATCAGTCATTATTTTGAACACTCTCTATCATTGCTTCTTCCATTAATATGGATAATGATAGTTGAAAAAAAGAAGTAAGTACTATAAAGCTACAGCAATCAAAAGAATGTGGTACTGGATAAGGATAGACATATACATCAATGAAATAGAATTGAGAGTCCAGAAATAAGCCTACACTTTTATAGGTTTTGATTTTCGACAAGGGTGCCAGGACCATTCAATGGGGGAAAGAATACTCTCTTCAACTGCATATCTGCATACAATAAGAAAGAAAGAAAGAAAGAAAGAAAGAAAGAAAGAAAGAAAGAAAGAAAGAAGGAAGGAAGGAAGGAAGGAAGGAAGGAAGGAAGGAAGGAAGGAAGGAAGGAGAGAGAGAGAGAAAGAAAGAAAGAGTTGGACCCTTTATCTCACACCTTATACAAAAATTAACTCAAAATGGACCAATGAACTAAATATAAGAGCTAAAATGATAAAACTTAGAGCAAAACACTGGGGGCAAATCTTCACGACATTGGATTTGGCAATAGATTCTTAGCTAGAACACCAAAATCACAAGCAACAACAACAAAAATAGATAAATTGCACTTCATCAAACTTAAAAACTTGTATAGCAAAGAATATTATTTAAAAAGTGAACCTAAACAATGGAAAAAATATTTGCAAGTTATATATCTAAGGGTATAATATCCAGAATAATAAGGAACTCTTACAACTCAACAGCAAAAAGAAAAATAATCCAATTTCAAATAGGCAAATTACTTGAATAGACATTCCCCCAAAGATGATATATAAATGATTAAAAGATGCTCAATATCATCAATAAATAGGGAGATGAAAATCAAAATCACAATGAGTTACTACTTCAAAACCACCAGGAAATTAAAAGAAGAAGAAGAAAAATATGGAAAATAAGTGTTAGTAAAGTTGTAGAGAAATTGGAACTCCACAGATTGCTGGTGGGAATGTAAAATCGTATGAGTACTGTAGAAAATATGTTGGTGAGTCTTTAAAAAGCTAAGCATAGGCCCTGGCCAGTGTGGCTCAGTGGTAGAAGCGTCACTCACAGACCAGAGTCCCAGGTTCAATTCTGGCCAAGGCACATACCTTGGTTGCGGTTCATCCCTAGCCCCTGCTGGGGTTGTGAGGGAGGCAACCAATTGATGTGTCTCTCTCACATCGATGTCTTTCTCTCTCTCTCTCTCTCTCTCTCTCTCTCTTTTTCTTCCTCCCTCTCTACCTCCAGCTCTCTCTGAAGATTAATGTAAAAATGTCCTCAGGTGAGGATTTTAAAAAAAAGGCTAAACATAGAATTACCATATGACTCAGTAATTCCACTCCTAGATATATAGGCAAAAGAATTCAAAACTGATACTCAAATAGATGTGCATGCATATTCATAGCAGCACCATTTAAAGTACCCAAAAGATGGAAACAATCCAAATATTCATCAACAGATGGATGAACTTCAAAAACATTATGCTAAGTGGGAAAAAAAAAAAAAAACAAACTAGACACAGAAGGCCACATATTATATAATTCCACTTATAGAAAGTATTTAGAATAGATAAATCCATAGACACAGATCATAGGTTAGTGATCACCAGAGAATGGAAGAAGGCAAGAATAGGAAGCACCTATTTAATAGGTACAAGATTTCCTTTTAGGGCAGTGATTTTCAAGTGGTGTGCCAAATGATTTTTAAAACACTCAGCACTTGACTGTTTAGTCTGGCGCACTGACCTCTCTTCCTTAGATTGTCAAATTAAAAAATGACAACAGCCAACACAACAATAGCCATCCAGTGTGAATGAATCAAAATTATACCTATTTTTTTTCATTAGATTGGCAAAAAATATATTATTTTTTTTGTGCTGCTGAGTCTTAGTAATTATTTTATGTGTGCCATGAGATTAAAAAGGCTGAAAATTACTGTGTTAGGGTGATTAACTTTGTTATGTGAATTTTACCTCAAATAATTAATATGTTAGCTAGACTTGTGATGATCATTCACAATACATACACATAAAATATTAAATAATAAACAAAGAAATAAAGACTAGATTCTTTACCTCTTATGTCTGCCATATTTTATGGTTTCCATTTTTTTAATTAAAGAATTTTTAATTGACTTTTAGAAAAAGAGAAAGAGAGAAGGAGAGAGAGAGAGAAACATCAATGTGAGAGTGAAATGTCAATTGGCTGCCTCACACATGCCTTACTGGGGATTGAGCCCACAACCCAGGCATGTGCCCTTATTGGGAACTGAGCTGGCAACCCTTTGCATAGGATGACGCCTAAACAACAGAACCATGCTGGCCAGGGCTAGTTTCCATTTAAAAACACAGGAACAAAATCATGACATACCTTTGGTTATTACCACCAGAAGGTTTTATTAGATTTCATGCTAATTGGTTCTCCCATTATTTTCACCTACTCTGTACAATTCAGATTTCAGTCCAAGGCTTCAGGAACATTGCGAACAGCTGCACTGGAATTATGCATCTGACCATCAATGATATGCCAACTCTGACAGACAACTGTTTAAAAGTAAGTAGTTGGAAAGTACACTTTCTTCTCAGTCCCATTAGATGGGCACATTTTCTAGTGGCTTGAATTACTGAAAAATATGAATGGGATTTTCATATTAGTTTCTTTATATAATAAGAAAATTATTTAAAATTTATACATATACACACACATTGAACATTTGAATCCTTAAATACCTTAAGAAAGTTTGTTTCACAGTTAGGATATTTTTGTTTCAGTGATATTATAGTCTAAGTATAAATTTAACTTTAGCTCTACATGTAAAGATTTTTTTAGCATTCTATTTTCTCATATTTTTCCCATACTTTCATAACATGATTTAATTCTGATTCCTATGCTTTACTCTAATGTAAGTGTACTAAAATATATTGAAAAAAATCCTGTTTTCTTTGAAAAAAGGAAAACTTAATAGTTAATGTATCTGTTTCTGAAAATATTGAGAGAGAAAAATGACCTCATTACTTTGCTAAGCTTGTACTGTGGTTAATTTAATCACCTTTCTTCTTCTGAAGGTTTTGGTTGAGAAATGTCCTCATATTACATCAGTAGTTTTCCTTGGTGCTCCACATATCTCCGATCGTGCCTTCAAAGCTCTTTCTACTTGTAACCTCAGAAAGATCCGATTCGAAGGTCTGTGATATTAAAAATGTGGTTCAGCATTAACTTTTACTCTTGTGGAAATTTAAATACAGCATTTGTCTTTTCTTTTGTTTTGTTTTGTTTGTTTTTTTTTAACAGGAAATAAAAGAATTACTGATGCATGCTTCAGATTTATAGACAAGCATTATCCAAACATTAATCACATTTACATGGTGAACTGCAAGGGAATAACAGATGGTAGCCTCAAGTCACTCTCACCTTTGAAGCAACTTAGTGTGTTGAATTTGGCAAATTGTGTAAGGTAATGAGTCATTTAGTCATATATTCAAGAAACACTGAAAATCTGGAATGTGCCAGACTTCCTTACGGAGCTCTTTGGTAATAGAGTAAACATGAAAGTCAGGAGTCCAAGTGGAGGTAAGTGTAGGGTGCTCTGGTTACACGAAGGAGGGGCACCCAACCCAGACTGGTTATATGGGGTGCAGGGAGATTCTCAGGGAAAGCTCAGAGTGTGGAATCGGGGCCCTTCTAAGATTAAATAAATTCACAGAAACCCTTATGGGCTATCTTTCCTAGTGAGTGTTCTCACAGTGAATTCAGCTAACAGGTTTTTTCCCAAATGGACTTTCAGACTTATTTATGAGGAACCAATCTTGGGTACTGGTTAGATTTCTCCTCCTCTGCATGAATTTGCTGACAGATGGGCAGATAGTGAGTGTTTACTCAAACTCTTTCTTCAGCTGGGTTATTACTGGGCTTCTATCCTGGTATTCTCAGTTGGGCAAGGATCAAATTGTTGCTGAAATCTCTTCACCAATGAATATCTCAGCTTATTGCCTATGTAAGTTTCTTACAATAGTATAGGGCCAAAGAATAGCAAAATAGCATTTGATCCTATAAAGTTGGTTAATACTTGAAACATAAGATGAGTCAGAGTAATAAACTAAGCTACACAAAATCTTACGCCGTATTGTCTATTGTTAAGATGGGAAGCACCATGTGTTTGGGAGGAGGGTAACATAGAATTTGAAATGGGCAAAGCATAGATTAGGAAATGAGACCCCCAGTCAATGGGCAGCAAGGAAACTGGGCCTCCTCAAACAGCCATAGGACTGAGCTGGGAAGCAGACCCTCCAGTCTCAGTCAGGTCTTCACATGACTATAGCCCCAGTTGGCATTCTGCCTACAAGCTATGAGCAAGCTGGCATCATGGTGTGAGAAGAATGTGTATAAATAACAGCTTGTCTTATTTGTGTTAATATGTGAAATAAATTGAATTTCATTCTTCTATTTCACTCAGGCTTCGGCAGGTTAACGATTTTAAAATAAATGGAGGTTTTCTGTTTCAGGCAGTATAGTTGACAAAAACCTTCAAAGGACTCTCTGCCAGTAGCAATTTAGAAATATGAAACATATTTCAAACATTAAGCCCACAAAGAATAAGAAAAATATCTGAGGTGTAATATTCTGATTCTGTTCCACCCTCTCAATGAAGACTCTCTGAGATAAAAAGTGAATAGAAAGCAAACTTAAAAGGTAGAGCTACTCTGAGCATACATCTTCATTTCAACATTGCTGTTGGGAGAATCAATTTTGAGCGAGACTCAAGATAGGGAAGCAGAACCTGAGACTTCTGCAAGTCTAGACCTATTCAACCAGGACAAAATAGTCTCAGGTAGGTAGCACCAGGCTTCTGGAAGAAGTTAGCTCAAAGCTTCTTTGTAGGAAATCATCTTCTATTTAGGCCTTAAGGATTCCCATAGATTAAGATCAAATATGTAGTATTCACAATTAGAGATAATCAAATGTACAAAGATATGAGTCACTGTGAGGAGTCACCAGAAACAGCAAAATATATTTGATCTTCAAATAATTCATATATTAGAATTATCAGATGTAGAATAGTAAGTAACTATGTATGATATGTTTGAAGACATAAATAATGGAATCAGAAATATGAGCAAGCCACAAAATGTAAAAATAACTAAATTTATTTGAAAGAAACAACTTGTAGAAATAAAAATATAATATAGTTATTGAAATAAATAAACTTAATGGATTGCTAATCAGTAGATTAGAACTCACTGAGGAGAGAAATGCAGAGCTGGAAGATAACCACTTTCATGACAGCAGAGAAAAATATGAAAGAGTATAACAGGGTGAAAAGACAGAGAAGGTTTAGTATCGGAATTTCAGATTAGATTTTTAAAATTCATCTATAAAAGATACACCTAAAACAGCAAGCTTGAAAGTCAAAGAATATACATTTTCTCAATCACACATCAATCCTTTAAAGATGAACTGTGTATGAAGTTTTAAAGCAAGTTCTCACAACTTTTAAATTATTGGTATCAATAAACTATATTATCTCACTACAATGCAATTAAATTAGGCATCAGTAACAAAAAGATAAATTTAAATATATAGATGATTTAAAAGTAAAAATTCCTGGGCATCAGAATTACTTGAGGAGCTTAACAACACTACATCCAGAGCCCAACCCCAGAGCTATTGAGTCTATTTAGGGAGAACCCCAGCTCATGTATTTAAAAAACACACAACATAGCCCTGGCCAGTTTGGCTCAGTGGGGCGAGCGTTGGCCTGCGGACCAGAGAGTCCCAGGTTTGGTTCCTGCTAGGGGCACGTACCATCAAAAAAAATAAATTAAATAAATTTAAAAAAACACACAATATAGATGCTTTTGATGCACAGACTAGTTTGAGACCAACTGCATTAACCAATTAACTTGGACCATTACCTGAATAATCCTTTTAACTCTTTAGGCCTTCTGGATTACAATATAGATTTATATACACATATATATGTAAAGGTGTACATATACACCCATATATACATACAGACACACACATATATGTGAGTATATATGTGTGTGTGTGTATAAATATGTCTGTTTTCGGGCTATCTTTTCCTTTCCATCCACATATCTGTCTTCTATCTAATGTGGCACAATATTTTATCTGTAAAATGGGGAAAATCCAAGTATATACTTAGGGTTGTTGTGAGGATCACATAGTTAAATAATGTAATGTGCTTAGAACAGTGTCTGGCACATAATAAGCACTCAACAAGTATTATCTATTATTATTATTGTTTTATAATGTTTTAATATCTAATAGAATGAGACTCTCCTTATCAGTAGTGTTCTTTTAAGTTAGATATTTTTGCCAGTTTATTCTTTCGAATAAACTTTAGAATAATTTTGTCACATTTCAGAAAATATTCTATTGAGATATTGATATTGTGTTAAATACATAAATTTTGGAAAAATATATAGTTTTATAATACTTATATAATTTTCTCTTTATCCAAGAATTAGTTATTAAGAATGTATTCAAATTTCCAAGAAGTTTATGTCTAATTGTCATTTTGTTATTTTTAGTTTAATGACATCATGAACAAAATTATGGGCTGTACAATTTCTGTCTTTTGGAATTGAGTTTCTTACTTAGGGGTAAGGGTAGTGGGAAAGATGGTGATTGTGTTGTTTAGCATGTTAATATTATAAAATATACCATGGAACTTAAGTTACATTAATTATATTATTCAAAATTGTATGTCCCTTTTTTGTTTGTCAAAAGCTGAGTCTGCCATAAAATTGTATCTTAATTATATTCTTTTCTCTTTATTGTTGAAAATATTACAGATATGTTCTTTTTGGATTTCAAATTATTTTTGCTTTATTTTGTATTTATGCTGTTATATGTTACATAAAAATTCATAACTAAAATTACCAAAATAAAATGTCAGACTAGCCTTAGATTTCTCTTCTATTACAGAAAAAAATATATATAATAAATATTTAAATTATTTTTGTTTATATTTTTATATTATACATGTATTTGGTAATTCTGTTGCAGAGGAGAAATCCAAGGCGAATCTGATTTATACTTGATGACACACACACACATACACACACAAACACATTTTTATATCGCTACATCATTACACCATTTCACTCTACACAATTTCAAGGGGGGAAAGAATATGAGTCCAAGATTCTATATATTATCTTCATTGGGGTGGTAACTTTAATCAATATAAAATTATCCTGTTAATCTTATTTAAAACTTTTACTATCATTGCATTTTGACTCAATGTAAAATTGCCACACCTATATTAATTTTATTTACATTTGCCTAATACATCTTTGCAATTTTTTTGTTCTTTTTGTTGTCATTTTATTGTAAGTGTGTTTTTTATAGACTATGTGTAATTTAGATTTTATTTGTTAAACCAGTTTGAGAATCTCTGTCTTTTAGTAGGGAATATTTTCAACTTATTTATGTTTATCATTATTGTAAAACTGATATATTTGGTCTTCTTTTGCTTCTATGCATTCTACTGTTTGTACTTTTCTTTTTTTTACCTTTTTGTTTTTATTTGTTTTCTCTTTTTGTTGTTATTTTTTATCCTCACCTGAGGACATTTTTTGATATTTTTGTTCAGATGGAGTGGGAGAGAGAGAGAGAGAGAGAGAGAAACATCAACGTGAAAGGGACACATCCAGGGCCAGGGACACACAGCAACCGAGGTACGTGCCCTTAGCAGGAACCGAACCAGGGCCTCTTGGGACCACAGGCCAACACTCTAACCGCTGAGGCAAACCGGCCAGGGCTTGTTTTCTGTTTTTTAATGTATAGATTATGTTTTGCTCTTTTGTTTATTTTTCCATTTTATTTTTCAATTACAGTTACATTTAATATTATTTTGTTTTAGTTTCAGGTGTACAGCAATGTGGTTAGACAATCATATACTTTATAAAGTGATGTCTCTGATATTTCAAGTACCCACCTGGCACCATATATACTTATTAAAGTATTATTGACTATATTTCCTATGCTGTATTTTAAACCTCTGTGACTATTTTGTAACTACCAATTTGTACTTCTTAACATGTTTTGCTATTTAAAAAGCTTTTATATATTACCTTTTAAAAATTTTGTATCTATCTCAAGAATACTCATTAAAGATTGAACCTTAATTCTCTATTCTCATTTATTTTTAATTATTCTTCTGAGTTCCAAAGAAACTTTTGAAATATGCCTTTTACTTAATAATTTAATTTTCAAAGGATCAGTTTTGGTTTCAATGCCCTAGATTATGATATTACTTTTATTACTGAATTTTTAGTTTCTTTGCCATTTGTCTTTTCTCAGGTGGCCATCTTTTCATCTCAAAATGCATCTTAGACTATATTCTTGTTTCAGCCAGGTCACTCCTTTTTAACCCCTACCCTTCCTTTTACACAGTTCAATATGTTCTAATTTTTTCATTTTCCTTTTTTTTTTTCCTCCCCAGAGGCATGCTTTCTCAAATTCCACTCCTTATTTTATTTTTCTTGTTAGTGAAAATCTCTCTCAATGAATACTCCAGCTCTTGTGTTTGCAATAGATAAGTAGATCAATTGCATGTGGCCTCTACTTCTGCCTGTATCCTTCACATTTCCTCACCCACCAGACTCTTAACTGCTTTCCCAGGTGTTGGCACAGCCCTTTCTCATATTACAGATGAAAGTAAGTTGATGGAGAGAGATGCAAATTAAAACAACAATGAGGTAACACCTCACACCTGTCAGAATAGCCGCCATCAACAAATCATCAAACAACAAGTATTGGCGAGGGTGTGGAGAAAAGGGGACTCTATCTAGTACACTGCTGGTTTTTCATAGTGACTGGTGCAGCCACTATGAAAAACAATATGGTGTTACCTCAAAAAATTAAAAATTGAACTGCCATTTGACCCAGTGATCCCACTTCTAGGAATATACCCTAAGAAACCTGAAACATCAATCAGAAAGAATATATGTACCCCTATGTTTGTAGCAGCACTACTTACAATAGCTAAGATCTGGAAACAGCCCAAATGTCCATCAGTAGACAAATGTATAAAAAAACAGTGGTACATATACACAATGGAGTACTATGCAGCTGTAAGAAAGAAAGAGCTCTTATCCTTTGAGACGACATGGAGGGACCTGGAAAGTATTATCCTAAGCAAAACAAGCAAAACAGAGAAAGACAAGTATCATATGATCTTATTTATTTGTGGAATATAATGAACATAACAGTCTGAGGAATGGGGTAGTCCCAGAGATGTGGAAGTGGGGTACAGACTGACAATCCCCAGAAGAGGGGGTGGTGGGGGAGAGATAAACCACAGGACTTATATGTATGTATGCATGAACAATGAACACAGACAACAAAGCTGGGGACAGGGTGGGGAGGGAGAGGGAGGGGGGAATTAGTGGGGGGAAAAGGAGAAATATCTGTAACAAATTAATTAAATAAAAAAAATTAAAAATAAATGAATAAATAAAAGAAAAAGTGAGTTGATGAACACAGCAGGCATCCACTTACTATTGTCCATTCAACTGAAACAAGATCGCCTTCTGCCTGTACATACTACTCAGTTCTTTGTAGATCTAATCAAATGGAAGGTATAAAAGATGTCAGCAATCAGCAATTGCTCCTGAAACTCTTCCCATCTATACACCCACCTGTAGGGTTGTTGTGTGTGAAGGCCGCCTCATGTAGGATGCAATGTGCAATTTCCAATTCTGCTGTTTTTCCTGAAATGCTTTTTCAGAAGGAACTGGTGGCATCCAAATGGAATTAGAAATAAAGATCCCAATAGAAAACTAGGAACTGATGGGCCAAATAGATCTCCAACCATTTATAAAGTAGGATACACTATTGGGGGAGGGGGTGTTGACACTGACACACAGGTGTCTTTGATTAGGAAGTATGGGAAGACTGAGGTCAAGACCTTCTTCCAGGTTTTCTCTGCTTCAGAAAAAAAGGATCCACAGGTCACTTCCTGGGTTTCCAGTCCAACTAAATTTTGGTCTTTTTCTTTTGCAGGAGATTGCATGAGGGACTGCTGAACTTGATCACATTTTAACCAAAGAGAAAGAAATCTTAAGGGCCATCTTTTTTCTTAATAATTATAAGTGAACAAATGAACATGGATAGCATTTTTATTAAAACTTCTCCTATTATTATCATCTATACTTTTCTTAATTAAATTAAGAGCCATGTAATAAAATAATTTGGTTTTAAAATGTTGATGAAATATCAGTATAAAGATATCTTGCTATTTTGTAATATATGGGTGTAGTAACTACTATATAAATAGTATTCTATATACTTACATATCAAATCACATGTAAAGCTCATCTTACTCTTTCCTACAGAATTGGTGATGTGGGACTAAAGCAATTTCTTGATGGTCCTTCGAGCATAAGGATAAGAGAGCTAAATTTAAGTAACTGTATCAACCTCGGTGATGCCTCTATTGTGAAACTATCAGAGCGGTATGATAGAACAATATTTTACATCATATCATTAGTAATTGTATATTTGCTAATAGGAGAGATCAGAGATAGACCTTCAGTACCATTTGGAAAACATTAGGGATGCCCAAAGGCTGGTCCAATACTCAGTGAAATCAAATAAAAGACATTGGAGTCATAAATTAAATTAATCTTTTGATTATATCTGAGATGTTTCTATTAATTTCACATTTGAGGAAGTTTGAAATTGAGTAATTAATAAAGTTATGAATATTTAGACATGAGTGGCCTCCCTATGCTTTTCAAGGATATTATCTCAATGTAAATCTTTACTCAAGCATTTCCTAAGGAATGTTCTAGCTGGTGGATTTATTCTTGATTCTCCTCACTTATCAGAGGTCATGTGTACATTAAGGGTCAAGCCCAATTCCTATAGCAAACTCAAAAGGGATAGTGAGAGACTTAACCTTGCATTTTTAGTGGTCATCCATTGTGTTACTTACATGATATGTACGTGATATCTTTTTTTCTTATTAGAAATTGCGATATGAAATGAACTCACAGAAAGCATGTCTTATATAATAATCTACCTCCCTTTCATCTAACTTTGTAATGCCATTTTTTTTCCCATTAAACTTACTTTTATGTTGAGAAGAGTAAAATCTTTGCTTCAATATCATTTGCTTTTCCCAATAGTTTCTATGTGAAGAAATTGTTACTGACAGTGTAACAAAAAGTGAAAATTAATTTTTCATGCTGCTTTCTTTCAGGTGCCCTCACTTAAACTACTTGAATTTACGAAATTGTGAACATGTGACTGACTTAGGAATTGAATGTATTGTAAACATCTTTTCCTTGATATCACTAGATCTCTCTGGAACAGATATCTCTAATGAGGTAAAAAAAAAAAAATGTTCAAAATAGTTCAATAGCTTTTATTGTTTTCTGTCATATAATCATTTTCCCTTTTATAAACAATGGAGAGAACAATTAAATTTATTTCTTAAATTATTAGATAAAAAAGGCTAGTTTAGGAATATTGTCTCTGGAATAATGTTAGATGAGGTCATTTGTAAATTATGGTCTTGTTTTTCTTTTTAAAAAAATGGCAAAATACTATATTGTGAGAGAGTACTGACAGATCGGAGTGTTACATGATAGATCTGAAATTTGTTTCATAATGGAAATTGGTCAATGTGGAAATAATGTATTTAAGATTGTTTAAGTATGTTTTTCTTGTGGATTGCATATTTTATAACACTACCCGAGTGCCTTGAGATCTCAGGCTAGTTCAAAATTGAAGTCTAGAAATGGTCTCATCAAATCTACAAAAGAATACATTCTTTTTTTCTGTGTTGATTTTAGAGAGAGGAAGGGAGAGGGAGAGAGAGAGATAGAAACAGCAATGAGAGAGAACATCGATTGGCCACATCCTGCATGCCCCCCATTGGGGATTTGGCCTACAACCTGGGCATGTGCCCTGTCTGGGAATCGAACTGACACCTCTTGGTGCATGGGTCAATGCTCAACCACTGAGCCACACCAGTTGGGCAAAAGAAAGAATACATTTTAAGGAACTATTTCCTACAAGCTGCTAATGCTGCTCATTAGAGTTGAAATTCAGGTCACATCCATCCTGTCACTCTTGCACTGCCTCATTTACTAATCAAATGGAACATAAACCTGGAGAGATTTGCCATATTTCTGAAAGACTATTAATCTGTTAAACTCACAGATAATCTGTTAAGTGTCTGTGACGCTTCTCTGAGAAGCCCCACCTTACAGACAATTACAGGAATTTCTCTATGTGCATCTCTAGCCCACATGCATCCTTTAACATGACCTGTTTCTCTCTGTTTCTCACTACATTACTGACATCTGTGTTGTGTGTCCATCCTTCCCCACCATTCAGTGGGCTCTTTTAGATGAAGGACTATGTCTGTTTATTGGTTTCTTTTCTTTCTTTGTCCAATAGTGAATTTAGATTCAACCTCCATTCTGCTAGCTGGTCTCCTCTTCCCTTCCTTGGTGTATCATTAAGTGGTATGAGAATGGGGGTGGGGAGCAGTTATACGTGCTAATTCATTATGGTAGAATCAAGTCTTATCTCCTCAATGTTGTCTTCTGTCCAAGCTGAAAGCTCTGAGGGTCCATTTGGTCTTTGGTTTCCTGCCTAGGTAGATCCTTATGTGTCTTCTTTGTCCCAGCATCAACGCCCCTTCAATTCTAGGCTACCTTATCATATGTGCCTTGCTCTGGGCTCCTTGGGGTCATGCTGGGGCATGGGACTCTGTGAGACTGTCTTAGGTCCATAGTCCTAGATATCTCCTGAAGACATTTTCCTGCTCTCAGGGTGTATTTGCCTTCAGACCCATGCCTCACCTCTCTCTCTGTTTCAGAGTGGCTGACTCATGTGAGATGGATTCCAGTTGAGTTTGGTTCTTAAGAGGCATTTGTGAGCAATTGAAGGGTCAGAAGAAGGAAGAGGCCAGGATTCTCTTCCACCTTTCTTTGTGTCCTCATGAGCAGCTGCATTTCCTTTATAACGACTGTCTGGTCAGGCCTGCTGCTGTTCAGTTTCCCCAAGTAATCACGGCCCCTGGGCTCAAATAACACCATCTGTAACGCAGGAGCTCCAAGCCAGGGATCACCACTCTGTTCTCTGACAGTCCGAAAAACCACACGAGGGACCTGAGGGAAGGACATAGCCTTTAGTACTTACATTATGGGGAAGACCCGATGGCAGCCAGTCAGGTCAGTTACGGCGCTTGGCCAGAGTCAGGCAGGGGCTTACCCAGCAGTGGGGAGGAGGTGGTGCTGGGAACGGCTTACTTGCAAGCTAAAGCAAAACTTGCTTGCTGTCAAGGATGTGGGAAAACTCCCAGTTCTGTGCTGGTCTGCTCCTTGTAGCCGCTGGCCAGGTGGACACCATTCAACTGACTGGGAGGGGGAAATGGGCTATATCCCTGTGTGACCCTACACCATCTTTCCCCACTGTCCTAGCATAAGGTTGATAGTTGTTTCCTGCCGCTGCTAATCTCTAGATTGTGTCACTATCCTTTTGGCTTCTCAGTTTCTCTACCACCTATGTAGCCAATTACCTGTCACAGTTAAAAGTCCTCAGTTTAAAAACAATTGTTTCTGTTTTCCTCATTAGATCTCAGCTGATGCATGATGAGCACGAAAAAACTCAGATGCCTTGTTACTTTTCACAACCCTATCAGGGAAAGGTGGGATTGGTTCCCATTTACTTAGATTCCTGATTCTATCAGGAGGTTCCAACTTTCTCTCCGACTGAATAGAGTCCAGGGAGGTTCAGAGCAGGGCTTTCTATGGGGGATCCTCTAGCATCTCATTCTTTTGCTTTCCTCTGACTCTTCCTCCCCCTCTTTTTCCCGTTCCCCTCCCTTCCTTTCCTCTCTCTCCCTCTCTTCTCCTTCCCCCTCTCCTCCTTCCCCCTCCTCTCTTCTTTGCGCCTCTTCTTTTCTCTTGGCATAGATTCCATATCCAATGTGAAAAAATTGTTCCAACTGATTGCATGCTTTTAAAAAATGTTATGCCCCCAAGTCTTTAGGATTTGAAGTTTAAAGGCCATAAAAGTTTAAAGAGAAAGGATTTTTTTCCCCCTGTGTTCTTCTGTGAAATCCCTTCCCTGACACATACAAATAGAATGCCCAGCTGTTGTCTGAAGGGTCACAGAGTAACAAGAAATAGAGGGTCAAAGCACATAATAAAATATGTTATAATATGATGCCACCACAGAGCTCATTACTAGCCAGCAGTGTCTGGTAAATGTTTGTTGAATGAAGAGAGTGAGGCTTAAATGCTCTTAGTTTTAGCGTTTGGGAAAAACTCAGTTTTTATTTTAAAAAATTATATATTAAAACTTTATCTACTGAGGACAAGTTAAAACTTGAAAATATCACCTCAAGTCCCATTCACTGTTTTCATTTTCTTGTAAAGAATATTCACAATTTGAGACAGCAATAAATGCACATCTATGGGGAAGAGTACTAATTGCTTTCTGCTAAAAGACTGAAAAATAAGTCTTCTGAAGATTGTTGTCTTTTTCTCCAAGTCAGTAAAACCCTGATCTAACAGGCAAATGATTGACAGTACAGTACCACAACAGCTGTGGAAGTTAACCTCTAACAGTCAAATTAAAATATATCAGCCCAGATGTGAACTTGGGCAGCTGAACGAACACCAAGCCCAGACTGTAAGTCTGATGAAATGCAAATTTGACTACAGATTTAATATTTGAGATTTAATCTCAGGAATGTTATAGATATTTACCACAGGTCAAATGTGACCAGTTGTGCCTTTTGGGAAAAAAAAAAAAGGTTATGTTTTCTACAAATTATATTCACTCTCAATTCTTTTCAATAATGAGTTTTCCAGTTAGAATCACACTCCTCGTTTAGTTAACAAATATTTATTTTGTGCTCATTGTAGGGGATGCTAGAATGAACAAAACATGGCCCCTCTTCTTAGCACTTACTTTCTAGTGGAAGACAGGCATAGAGCAAGTGGTTACAAAGTGTGACATAGGTGGAAAACAAAGAGACTCAAGGAAGGACCTGACCTTTTCTAAGAAAATGGGTATGGGATGAACCAATGAAATAGTCTGAACCAAGATACAGAGATTTAAAAGTATGGCGGCATCCAGGAAATTTGTGGACTTGATTGTGAGGAGAGTGGTGAGAGACCATGTTTGAGAGGTAGGCAGGGACCAGGTCATGAGGGGCCAAGAAGCCACATTAAAGAATTTATTTGCCCTTTTGGCAATGAAAGGACATTCAGTATTGTCAATTAAACGTGGTCAGATAAATATTTTTTAAAACATTTAAACTCTGTTTGCTGGAGGGACACGGAAATAATAAATGAAACAGTGAACCAGTGACTGATTATGAAGCAGAAATCCAGGTGAAAAGTTATGAAGTTCTACTTTAGGGCTAGAGCCGGGGAGATGGCTGGAGCAAAGACAGTAGATTTGAGAGACATTTAGAAGGAAGAATCAATAGGAGATAGAAATAGACTGAGTGCAGGGGTAAAGATGAGAGGGAGAGAATCAAGGATGATGCCAGATTTTTGGCTTAAGTATCTGTATAAATAAGTGGTGGTGTCCCTTACTAACCTGTGTGCCTTCCACAGTGGGAGGAGCAGCTTTGCTGCAGGTTGGGAAAATGGCAGTGTTTAGTTAGAGTCACCTATAAGATAGCTCTATAGAGAGGTAAAAGGCTCAGAAAATAAGCAGGAAAATCATTGTAATTCACTCCTCAGAGGTACAAGAACTTTTTAGGTTTGCAGAGGACAAAGGGTGTTGCATTCTGAAAATCATGACACTCATGAGGTTAATTAGCAAAGGCAAAAAAACAGATATTTAGAAATCTAGAAAGATTTTAACTGAGAAAGCTAATTTAAATGGAGAAAGCAAAGAACACAGTTATTTCAAACTATAAATACTTCTTATAATAATTTTATTGTCCTCAGTCATTTCTTTGTAGAAAATAGTGACTAATGTTTCATCCATGAACAAAAATTAAGAAGTGATCTATTAAGCACATTTTAGGGAAAGAGAAAATATAAAGAGGACAGGGTTTATTAGTGAGGGAAATAGATTACTAATGTAATGGTATTTAAAATATCTTTAATTTTTTATTTTTTATCCTCACCTGAGGACATTTTTGCATTTATTTTCAGATAGAGCGGGAGGGAGAGGGAGGAAGAGAAAGAAAGAGAGAAACATCGACGTGAGAGAGATACATCGACTGGTTGCCACCTGCACGACCCCAACCAGGGCCAGGGACAAACCCCAACCGAGGTACCTGCCCTTATCGGGAACCGAACCCAGGACTCCCTGGTCCACGGGCCGGTGCTCTAACCACTGAGCAACC